GTGTTGCTGTAAGGAAAAGTAAACATCTGTTAGAGGTGGCTCGTGCATTACTTTTTTCAACTAAAGTTCCTAAGTATCTGTGGGGAGAGGCGGTTCTAACTGCTGCATATTTAATAAACAAAATGCCCTCCAAAGTTTTACAATTTCAAACTCCTTTCCAAGTGTTTAAAACCTGTTTTCCAACTGCCAGACTTTCGGCTGATCTACCTCTAAAAATATTTGGTTGTACAACGTTTGTTCATGAACATAGGAAAATTGGAAAACTTGAACCCAGAGCTATAAAATGTGTCTTCATTGGTTACTCCCCAACTCAGAAAGGTTATAAATGTTTTGACCCGGTAACAAAAAAAATTTGTCACCATGGACGTAACGTTTTTTGAAAAACAACCATTTTTTAGGGAGATTCATCTTCAGGGGGAGAATTTCAAGAAAGATTCATTTGTTAACTCTGGTGAGGTTTTTTTCTCAGATGATGTGTTTCTTAAACAACATTCTAAGCCGAGTACCTCTGCACCTACAATAAATGGCCAAGATCCGTTGTTTGAAATTCCTCCCATTGTGAGTGATGTTTCACTTGAGTCTAGGCGTACATTTGAAAATCAATCTAAAAATCAGAATTCTGAAAAACATTTTGTGGAAACCAAAGACAAGGAACAGCCTACTGAAATGCCACAATATGATAATTCTGCTAAAGCAACGGGTAATAGATTCAAGGAAGGTGACCGAACTTAGAAAGGGATTGCTTACTTGAAGAATTATAAAAAAAGGAAAGACGAATTGACTCAACAGCACAGCCATGATTCCGAACCAAAGGCAAATAAAAAATATGAGTCAGTTGCAGGTAATTCTCCTTCTCTTCCTAACAGTCAGTCTGAGTCTTCCGATTTTGAAATTCCTATAGCTCTACGTAAAGGGATTAGATCCTGTACTAGTCATCCGCTGTCTAAATTTGTGTCATACTCGAAACTGTCTCCATCTCTGGTTGCTTTTACCTCTCAATTGTCCAGTGTAGAAATCTCTAACAATGTACAGGAGGCCCTAAGAGTTCCAAAGTGGAAGGAAGCAGTGCTTGAAGAGATGAGAGCTCTTGAGAAGAACAATACTTGGAGTATTGAGGCGTTGCCAAAGGGAAAGACTACCGTGGGCTGTAAATGGGTTTTCACGATGAAGTACAACTCTGATGGTTCAGTGGAAAGATACAAGGCTAGATTGGTGGTAAAGGGATTCACCCAGACATATGGCATTGATTACTCTAAGACTTTTGCTCCTGTTGCAAAATTGAACACGGTAAGAGTACTTTTATCTATTGCTGCTAATCTAGATTGGCCCTTACAACAACTAGATGTGAAGAATGCCTTTCTCAATGGTGATTTGGAGGAGGAGGTGTACATGGATAGTCCACCCGGCTTTGGAGATAAATTTGGCTCAAGAGTGTGCAAGCTAAAAAAGTCCTTGTATGGGCTCAAACAGTCTCCAAGGGCTTGGTTTGAGAAGTTCACACAATCTGTCAGAAAACAAGGATATTCTTAAGGACAAGCTGACCATACCTTGTTTTTCAAGTTCTCTTTTGAAGGAAAGGTTGCTGTGCTAATAGTGCATGTTGATGATATTATTCTCACAGGTGATGATGTGATTGAAATGGAGAGACTAAAGAAGAGCCTTGCATTAGAGTTTGAAATCAAGGATTTGGGAGCGCTAAGATATTTCCTTGGTATGGAAGTTGCTCGTTCAAGGAAAGGAATTGTTGTCTCTCAACGAAAATATATTCTTGATCTGTTGAAGGAAATCGGGATGAGTGGTTGCAGACCGGCTGAGACTCCCATGGATCCCAATGTAAAGCTTTGGGAAGAGGGACGTGTTCGTGTTGATATTGGTAGATACCAGAGATTAGTTGGGAAACTAATTTATTTATCCCATACTCGACCGGATATTGCCTTCTCAGTCAGTGTTGTTAGTCAATTCATGCACGCACCTTATGAAGAACACCTCGAGGCGGTCTACCGAATTTTGAGATATTTGAAATATACTCCTGGAAAAGGTCTGCTTTTCAAGAAGACTAATCAAAGGAGTGTTGAGGTATTTACCGACGCAGATTGGGCAGGTTCAGTGACTGACAGAAGATCTACCTCAAGGTAATGTACCTTTGTGTGGGGAAACTTGGTTACTTGGCGAAGCAAGAAGCAAAGTGTTGTTGCCAGAAGTAGTGCAGAGGCTGAGTTTAGAGCAATGGCTCAAGGAATCTGTGAGGTGTTATGGATATACAGAATCCTAGAAGAACTCAAGAAGAGTGTGGAACTTCCCCTGAAGCTGTACTGCGACAATAAGGCTACAATAAGTATCGCTCACAATCCCGTCCAGCATGATCGGACGAAGCACATAGAGATTGATCAACACTTCATTAAGGAGAAACTTGAAGCAGGGACTATTTGCTTGCCGTTTGTACCTTCTAGTCAGCAAACAGCCGACATCTTGACGAAGGGGCTTGCAAGACATAACTTTGAACATCTGATAAGCAAGTTGGGCATGATCGACATCTATGCACCAACTTGAGGGGGAGTGTAGGAAAGTTAGGAAATCTGATCCCATAGAATTAGGAAATTAGAATTTGAATTATTTTGGGATATTTTCCGTTTTAGTTATTTCCTTTTTTTTCTCCTTTTTCTGTTACTAATTTTGCTCCTCAATTCTAGGAACCGAACCTTGTGTTCCTTTTCTATTTAAACTAATGTAACTCGTATTATGATAATAACAAGAGAGAGAGAGACTTTTCTGCTCTCTGGTTTTTCCTTCTACCCCTTTTTTCCTACACCTATCTTGATGAATGGATCCATAGGAGTATCGGAGGGTTTGCATCCAAGGATTCTTGTTTCCTTTAACAAGTCAAGGGTGTACTTTCGTTGTGAGACTGAAATACCCTTGCTTGACCTTGCTACCTTCATTCCAAGAAAATATCTCAAAGCTCCTAGATCTTTAATCTCAAATTCTCTGCTTAGAACTGTTTTAAGTCAGGATATTTCCTCTTCATCATTCCTTGTAACAATTATATCATCAACGTAGACTATGTGAATTGTGATCTTACCACCAGGAAGTCTCTTAATGAAAAGAGTGTGATCAGACTGTCCTTGTGAATATTCCTCTTTTAATGACCTTAGTAAACCTCTCGAACCACGCTCTTGGGGATTGCTTAAGCCCATAGAGTGATTTCTGAAGTTTGCATACTAGATTGTTGCTACTGGAGTGTTTTAGACCTGGAGGAATTTCCATGTAGACGTCTTCTTCAAGATCACTATTGAGGAATGCATTTTTGACGTCTAGTTGATGCAAGCCCCAATCAAGGTTGGTTGCCAAGGATAGTAAGACACGGATTGTGTTCAACTTCGCGACTGGTGCAAAAGTTTCCTGATAGTCAATCCCATAGGTCTGTGTAAATCCTTTTGCCACCAGCCTTGCTTTGTACCGGTCTATACTTCCATCTACCCTGTATTTGACATTAAAGACCCACTTACAACCCACAGGACGATTTCCCTGCGGTAATTTAGTAATCTCCCATGTGCCATTCTTCTGTAGTGCTTGGATTTCTTCATTTACTACCTTTCTCCACTCAGGATGCTGTAAGGCCTCTTGTATGCACTTCGGAATAGCAACATTCTCCAGATTTGTGATGAGAGCTCGAAGATTGGGAAACAGCTTCTCATAGGAAAAATTTTAAGATGAGATGCTGAGTACAAGATCTTACCCCCTTTCTGTGGGCAACAGGCCTATTGAGATCATCCATAGAATATGTGTTATCTATAATGGAGGAAGAATCTATGTTACCTTGGATGACTTCGGTGGGATTTGGTCTCGGGACATGGATGTCAGTCCACTAGTTTAGGGTTCTTTTGACGCCTAGAGTAAACTTGAAGTTCCTTGCCCCTGGACTCCTTGTCTCCTTGAATTTGACTCGCCTCTGATGGTGGTCCACTCGGCTCCAACGGTGGTTCACTAGAAATATTGGGTTCAGGTACCTTAAAGGAAGTGTCAAGCAAGGACATGTCCCAAAACTGATATTCTTCCTGTTGGTTGACTGAATTCTCCCCCTAAATATGAGTTTTGGTGTAAAAGGGCACATTTTCAAGAAAAGTCATATCCATAGTGTTATAGGTTTTTCGAGTGGTAGGACAATAGCACTTTTGATAAGGGGAATAACCTATAAAAAGACACTTGACTGACTTTGGATCATGTTTACGTCACTGATGAGAGGAGATATGGACATATGCAGAACATCCAAAACTTTGGGAGGCATATTGGTTATAATTCGATTTTGAGGAAATTTTTTGTAAAGAACCTGCATGGGGTATCAAATTTCAAGACTCTAGAAGGCATTCTATTTATTAGGTATGTGGCAGTTAAAATTGCCTCCCCCCAGAATTGCTTTGGAACATGAGTGGCAAACCTAATAGATCAGGCTACCTCCAGTGGGTGTCTATTTTTCCTCTCTACTATCCCATTATGTTGAGGGGTATCTATACAAGAGCTTTGGTGAATGATTCCATTTTCTAGAAGGTAATTTCCAAGTATGAAATTAAAGTACTCCCTGACATTGTTGGTTCTAAACACCTGAATCTTAGCCTGAAATTGTGTTTGAACCATGGAATTAAAGGATTTGAAAATAGATCCCGCCTCTGATTTTTCCTTCATAAGAAATACCTATGTAACTTGAGTATGGTCATCAACAAAAGTAACAAACCATCTAGCACCAGAAATATTTTGAACACGAGAGGGCCCCAAATGTCACTATGAATAATAGAAAATGGTTTTGATGGTTTGTAATTTTGGGGGGGATAAGAATTACGACAATGCTTAGAAAGTTGACAAACCTCACATTGGAAAAGCTTGGGATTTTTATTAAATAGTGATGGAAACATCCTTGATAAGTACATAAAATTTGGGTGTCCTAGGCGCGATAATGCAATAACATGATTGTACTTTCTTTATTTGAATCTAAAGACAAGTTTAACCTAGGATCTGGAATAGAGGAGGAAACATGATGTGCTTGAGGGTCTTGTTTTTCTGCAGCCCTAAACCAGTAGAGTCCTTTGCTTTCCTTAGCATTGCTAATCATCTTCCCAAAAGCCAAATCCTGAAACGAACAATAAGTGGAAGAGAAATTAGCCACACAGTTTGCTGATAGACAGTAAATTACATGAGATTGGGAACCAAAAGAACTTGGTTAAGAATTAGTCTCGGAGATTATCACTTTCCCAACACCAATCACTGTGGAAAGGGAACCATCTGCAATTCTGACTTTGTAATTCTCGTGGCAAGGACTGCAATCATGGAGTAATGATACATCACCTGTCATGTGGTCGGAAGCTCTAGAATTGATGATCCAACCTGATGAATCCTCGGCTTTTGTATGTAAGGCAGTTAGGAAGTTACCTCTTTGAGCAACGGATCCAATTGAGATAACCGGGGTAGGAGAAGATCCTTGACTGAACATCTTTTGCAGCCACTCTACTTGTTCTTTGCTGAAGAGAGCAAAATCATTTGTGCTTCTTTCTTTTCCTTCAGAGTCAGCCACCAAACCTCGTCCCTCCTTTTCTTTGTTTGATTTCCAGTCTACGGGCTTCCCGTGTATTTTCCAACACGTTTCTTTGGTGTGACCTGGGCGGCGGCAATGATCACACCATTGTCTTCCTTCTTTTCTGCCTTGCATCATAGGTGGAAGTGGATCCTCGGGAGACAAGGGCTAATCCTTCTTGCATATTTGTAGATCCTTGGGAGACAATGGTTGATCCATCCGGGAAGTTAGAGGATAGCCGAGTACCCATCATCAACTTCTTCCTGCTTTCTTCTCTTCTCACTTCTGAGAAAGCTTCTCGAATTGTTGGAAGCGGCTTGGTACCAAATGTTAGAGGATAGCCGAGTACCTATCATCAACTTCTTGCTACTTTCTTCTCTTCTCACCTCTGAGAAAGCTTCTTGAATTGTTGGAAGCGGCTTGGTACCAAGGATTCTCCCCCTTACTTCATCTAAGGATTTGTGTAATACCAGTAGGAACTTGAAGACCCTTTCTTTTTCGATGATCTTGTACCGGCTTGCATCTCAAAGGCACTCCCAATCTAAAGTCTCAAACACATCCAATTGCTCCTAAAAATGACCAAGAGTGTTATAGTATTGAGTCACAATCATCTCACCTTCACTCAGATCATGCAGAGCTCCCTTGATGTCAAACAGATCAGCAATAGTATCGTTGTCAGAGTAAGTTTCTTTTGCTGCCATCCATATCTCATGTGCAGTGTCATAGAACAGAAAATTTTGACCGATTTCTACGTCCATTGCATTGATTAACCAAGACATAAAAAGATTGTTCTTGGTATTCCACACCTTGAATTTTTTATCATCCTTCTTTGGTGGTTCTGTGGTGTTGAAGAGGTATTCATCCTTACCTCTTCCTGTGATGAACATCAAAACTGCCTTCGCCCATTGATGGTAATTGTGGCCGGTTAACTTGTGCCTTGTGATGAGGAATGACGAACCTTCTGCACCACCATTGCTCACGAATTCTTGGCTAGATACTGTTCCAGTGATGCTGCTGCTTGTTTCTGAGGCCATAGAGGAAAGACTGCTGCCTAAGAAACTTTATGGAACAACAATCTAGAACGAAGGAGGATGCTTGGTTTGCACCCAGAACCTAAAAAAAAAAAGGAGAAAATATGGTTTTGAGTTTCACCAGAAAAGAAGATTAAGATGTGTTCTGGTTTGAATCAGAACTACGAAGAGGAAAGAAACTGGTCCAAGCAACCTTGCTCTGATACCAAGAAGAAAATCATAGAGAAATTTCTTCTATTTTATTCATTCTGCCGAAATATACAATTATAGGAAGAGAAGATTACCAACAGCCTGGTAATTCCTTGATTCAATCTGTCAAATCCTACATAAAAGGAAACTAACAGTTATCTACAGCTATTTACAGCCTAGCAAATCTCCTATTTACAGCCTATTATCTTCAGAATTCCACAGTTACATCCATAAAACTATAGGATTTCTTTGTTAGTAGAGAATAACATTTATAACCCTTTTGATGGGGAGAGTACCCAAGAAAAATACATTTGACTGATTTCGGATCAAGTTTGCTGCGGTTCTGTGGATGAACATGTATAAATGCAGAACAACCAAAGACTCTCGGAGGAATAGTAGATATGAGGCGAGTGCTGGGATAAAACTCAAGGACTTGACAATGTGTTTGAAATTTTAGAACACGAAAAGGCGTTCTATTAATCTAATATGTAGCAGTAAGGACAACTTCTCCCCATAAAGTTTTAGGGACATGAGTGGAGAATAGAAGCTTATGTGAGATTTTTCCAGAGGATAATTCCACTCTTTTTGTTGCTTGGGAGCAGGTGTGTAGGCCAAAGGACTTGGGGATTTGAGTATTGGCAATATATCAAAAAAAGAAATGAGGCTCTGTTGGCATAATATCTATGGAGATTTACGCTAGAGACAAAATCACTTCGGCATAGGTCATTACAGGGAAATATGGGCTGGCTCAAAATAAATGGGACTCCGGGGCCGCGTCTAGAGTCACGTTTAGATGCCCTTGGAAGTCAATCCAATATGTTGCAGATGGTGTTTTCCAGCATGTTAAATGGAAGGTAGACTCGGGAGAGATTTTCAAATTCTAGGAAGACTCTTGGTGTGAAGATAGACCTTTGTGTTCAAGTTTTCCTGCTTTATATAGACTTTCTTCCATCCATGATCAACAAAATCACAAGTTTTGCTCTAGGTGATTTTTAGTTCATGGGATTTTTAGTTCTCTAGGAATTTGTCGAACAGAGAGATGAGAGGCCTCGAGCTAATTGATGTTTCGGAGAGAGTTAATGTTAATGGTGTGCTGCAAGATAGAAGTGAGTGGGCAATTGATCTAGTGGTTTGTTCATTGTTGGATCTCTCTTTTCCGATCTGATTGTTGATTCATCAGTTCAGCGGTTCCCCTTTTTTAAGAACATTTGGAAAACTCGGGCCCCTATTAAAGTTCAAGTCTTTTGTTGGCTTCTTGCTCTTAATAATCTAAACACTCATGACTCTATGCAGCACAAAAGTCCTTTCATTCCAATTTCTCCACGCTAGTGTATTTTATGCAAGAACAACGGGTAGACAACAAATCACTTATTCCTCCACTGCCCTTTCTCTCAACAAATTGGTCTTTATTGCTGAAGGAGTTTGGGTTCTTATGGGTCACCCTAGGAGTCCCCCCACCCACCCCCCAACACCCCAACAGAGCCTTAGTCACAGAGGCTCGATCTTGTGGACGGCCACTACACTAGCTATTTGTTGGGAAATTTTGTTAGAAAGGAATAGGAGAATGTTTGAGGATCGTGGGGAAGATTCTTTGGTGTTATGAGACAAAATTAAGTACTTGGTTTCATTATGGATTTATAGGTACAAAGAGTTCGGTCGGCCGACAGTTTATGACATTGTTAGGAATTGGGCTCCTTTCTTAGTCTTTTTATTCCCTCAGTTTTCTCAGTTTCAGTTTTGCTTCTTTTTATTTCCCTTTATTTTTGGAGTTGGTTTTGGTGAGGAAAATTCTTCCTCCCTTTTCCTTTCTCCTTTTTTCTAATATATAAAAGTTTCTGTTTAAAAAAAAAAAAAAGTTTCCCCCTCACAAGTATTAAGTGCAATGGAAAAATCGAAACAAAAAAAATGCAATGGAAAAGTGTTCTATTCTTTATTCCACTCTTTCGACAAGTATCAGGACAAGAATGTGATAAACCTTCGCTGACAGCCAAAGAAACAAGATAGTACCCACATCAGCCCTCCTCGTACCTTGTCATCTTTTGAGCAGAGGACAAGTCATACCCAAGAATTGACAATGTAATGTCTTGTTATAGAGGAAGAAGAAATACATTTCTGACATCATGATGTAGAACAAGTTAAAGACTTAGAGGGAGAAGAGAGAGAGATAGGTAGAGAAAGATTTGGAATTTAAGAGAAGAGAGTATGCGAGAGCTTTTAGGGAGAGAACAAGAATGTAAGGAAAAGAAAAGTGTATATTTCACAACCAAACTGACTTTGTTATTCCATGTTACAAGATGACCTATTCATGAAAAGGCAATTTAGCACAAGTGGCTTAAGTTATAACTAATTTACAAGTTGGTCATACTAAATCCTAGCTAATGACAACGAAGAATGATTTGGCACAAGTGGCTAAGTTGGTTTCTAATAAAGTAAGCAAGCAAATGACAACTAAGCATACGTTGGTCTACTTGAAGATCCGCCCTCACCGGCTTAAGTCCTTAGCTCAGCGACCTAATGAGAAGCTCGCTCCCTGGTTTTATGGGCCCTTCCAAGTTCTCGCGCGGGTTGGATCGGTTGCCTATCGACTCCAGTTGCCCGAGTCTTCTTCTCTCCATCCCGTGTTCCATGTCTCCCAGTTGCGCCGCGCGGTGGGCGCCATGTCCATGATCTCCGAGTTCCCTCCCACCCTGTCGGAGGAGTACGAGTTGTTGATCGAACCAAAGAGAGTGTTGGGGCTGCGCACTACTTCAACAGCAAGAGCCAAACCGCTGGAGGTGCTGCTTCAATGGAAGAACATGTCCCCAGCAGAAGCTACGTGCTGTTGATCGAACCAGAGAGAGTGTTGGGGCTGCGCACTACTTCGACAGCAAGAGCCAAACCACTGGAGGTGCTGCTTCAATGGAAGAACATGTCCCCAGCAGAAGCTACGTGGGAGCCTTATGAGCTGATTCAAGGCCAGTTTCCCGAGTTTCACCTTGAGGACAAGGTGACTCATTGGGAGGGGAGTACTGTTAAGCCCCCGATACGGTTCACTTATGCTAGGCGTGCCAAGCACGTGAGGGGGGAAAATCAGTTGGCATCTTAAGGCCAATTTGGGGAATTTGTGGGAATCTGGGGATCGATGTTAGTTAGTGGAAATTAGTTGTGTGGGAATAAAAAGGGAGGGGGGAGGTCATCGTAGAGGGGAGGAAATCAATTAGAGAGTGGAACACTACCCCAGGGAGAGAATTGAGCCTCTCGAAT